TTAAAAGGTTCCTTCATGTGATGATCTGCTAGAGGGTGTGGGGAGCCACAGCCCCGTCCTCCAGGGCATGAAGCAGGTATGGAGGAGATCAAAACTCCAGACATCCAGAGGCCCCCAGAACACAAGAGACCAAGGAAGACCAACAGATGGGGTTTCTCTATTGTTTTAGGGTCTTTAACTTATAAAGCGCCTTGAGGTGATTGACTATTATGTGTCATGCTAAGTTTACAGTTAACATTACAGTTTTGTTACATTGATACAAAGTGGAAAAATGACCTACATTATAGTGGCTTGGCTGCAGAGGTGAAAATGACTTGTTTTGCAACAGCCAATCCATTTCTAAGGATGAGCGTCAGCACAGGTTTCTACACGTGATGGGTGTGACAAGCCCTGCTCTAACAAACATCTAATGGGGGTTGTTTCTAATGACTGCTTTCATTGCAATGTTTTATGGTATGGTAGGGTATGGGAGCGAGGTGGCCAGCTGTGATGCGAGTTTGATAAGGTTGTGTGTAGCAGTTTTTCTTTAAAAGGTTTTATTTCTCCATTAAAATCACCAGTATCTTGAATAAACTGTGGTTGGTTCACCAGAAGTCACTTCTTTGGTTCTTCAGTGGCTGACTGTTTGCATCAGATATTGCGCTGTCTGAAGGTTTATTTGAATGTTATCCAAATGGCCTGGCATCTTTTGTTGAAACAGCACTGTCCGGCCCTGAGTAATAAATGACACCGTGACCCTGGACAGGTCACAATTTCATAAAATATTTAGCCAATAATGCAAAATTAAGCACTAGTCTGTGATCAGATCAGGCATTTATTCACAACATATAGCAGAAATAATCAAACACTTAGTGCAACAGATGCTGCTTCAACTATAGTTTGAGTAGCAAGAATACATAATATGATATGCTGATATAAATAATGATAACTCAAACTCATTGTGTAAAGAAGGAACTCATTAACAAACCAAGTGTCAATTCATGGAAGCTAAAAGAAAAGCAAATCCTCATTATCTCCAGTTGTGTCTTGCCATTATGCCACTTATGAATTCATTTGGAGCTTAAAAACTTTGTCACTTTTTAGAACCCAGAGGATTACCCTGTTATCACTTTTTAAAGGAACTATTTCCTCAGTAAAAAGCAATTTCAGTTATTGTTGTCACAGCAACAGTTAATGGAGGAGCTGTATGTTGAAAAAAGAGTTTTAAATATCTAATTTTTGCCTTTTATTATTTTATCTTTTTTTTTTATAAACACGTGAATGCTTTTACTTTAAGTGAATGACAGTTAGAATCATATACTTATGTAACCTTTATCTTACATATATCAACTGTAAATTTATGGGCAACAGATTAACCTTCAGTCCTGTTTTTTTCTTTTCTTTTTTTTTCATCTTAATTTGCAATGCATATTTTCCTGGGTGCGTCCTGGACACAGGCAGGTCAGCTGAGTTCCAGTTTAGTGCATCTTTTGGTTGCTAGTGTTGGAATAAGCTGGTTAATAGTTCTGACCATGGTGGAGAATCAGATAGTGGATATATTTTAGCAATAATAAGCTATTTAACAGAAACAAAGTCCACTCTAGAAGGACAAAATGAATAAGAAAAGATACTTTCTGGATCCTCCAGAGATCAAAGACTACCTGGTCAAAGGAGAAAGGTTTACCAAGTGGTCAGAGGTGAGTGAATATTGAAAAAAATTAAGCTGTTAATTCTTGAATATTAACCAAAGTGATTAGGAGTTTAAATATACATCAGTAAGTGTTGCTTATTTTCATTCTCCTGTGAGCAATACAGCCTTTTCTGTGAAATTCCATGGTTTTCATCTGTTTTTAAAACACTAATCATTAATTTCTTATTCAATAACTTAAATATAGCTACAAATGCAGTTTAAATATCAGCCAAAAAGCATCTCTGTTTCACGGGTTCCATCTCAAACAATTACCAGAACCACGTCAAAGATTATTCCTCTATAATGTTGTACGGTCTTCATCTTACGATGCACACTACCCTTAGATGACTACTGTTGTCAATCAGCTCGATACAAGAAGTACTGAATAAATTTGTCTCTATCAAGGACTCAACGAAAACCGTTCCTGTCACCATGAAGATGGATCCAAAAGGGTTTTTTGTCTACTGGATTAACCAAAGCAAGGTGGGGAAAAGCCAGCAGCATTCAGATGTGTGGGTAAAATGTATGGGATCTGCTAAAGGTGTGAGATATGTAAGCGCTTCATTCACCACCTTCTGGCCTCAGCAGTCTGTATAGATTATTGATCAGTGCTGATGTGGGCTCACTGTCCAACTGTGCTGTGCAGCTGGACTGTGATGCACTCAATGAAGGTGACTAGCTGTGTTTACTCTTCATCTCTCTTTCTCTTCTCACTAAACAAGCAAGGTCTTCTTTAAATGTGTTACCACAGTTAACCAAAACTAAATTTTAAGATAAAATAGGTGTAAAAAGCAAATGTTGACTGAAAAAATTACAGGTGCTCAAAAAAATAAATAATATAAAAGAAATGTCTTTTTCTTAATTTGGTCATACTGATCACCACAACTAAAAGCAGGAGGCAGTGATATAGGAAATCATATGGTTATTGTGACTGTGATGTCTACATGTTCTTCACTTTGTCTTGTGATATCTTTCATAATAGCTTCTCAAATGTTCCCCCTGATGATGCGCCTTAGATGAAAACAAAACAAAATGGAAAAAGGAAAAAAATAAATACAGTCAGGAAAATATAATATAAAATATAAATAAAAAATAATAAAAAAAGAGAATACATTCAACAAACAAACAAAAATCCTTAAGTAGCGCTTTGCGGATCAATAATAACAGAGATTTAGTTATTACCAAGTAATAATTCTGTAATTACACCAGTATTAGCTATAATACTGGGAAACATGCTTAGCTAAATGTCACAGTTTCCCCAAAAACCATCTAATTTGTTTACGGGTAATAACAGGAGAAAAATGTAATATCTACCTCTGGCACGCTGACCCTCCTCATGACCAACATACAATATTGTTAAGTAACCATGCTCTCATCAGCATTTTACTGTTTCATGACCACCCCGTCACTGCTGCTATTACAGATGTATTGTCTGTTGAAAGTGAACAAGGAAAACAACAAGCTATCCCTACTTTGTAAAAATATCAGAATGAACTTGGCATTTATTTACTCATTTATTGGTTAAAACAGCCCTACAATATTCCCAGCCTTAAATAGCTTGTTTATTAACTCGCTTATTTTACTGATGGGCAACGTGTTTTTTTTTCTACTTTGCTAAAGGGTGAGTTATATCTAATCCATATCTGGAATGGTGCCTACACGTTGAATTTAGTATCCACGATGATTCTTTGTCTCTTGTTTCTAGGAGACAACATTCCTGGATGTTGCTACCATCAGAGATACCAGAATAGGAAAATATGCAAAACTTCCCAAAGTAAGTCCATTTGTATTATTTAATTTGTGGCATTCACTTTGATTTAATCGAGCTTAATGATTGTGCTCTGTGTGGAGGAATCTCTCCAAGCATGCAAATATATCTGTCGAGTCCTTTGTTTGTCCATTAATATTGACAGACATATTTGCATTGCAAAGAGAAAAAAAAAAAGCGCCGTGGATGCATGAACCCAGGCTACTCCTCCACAGAAACACACAGATGCACTGGCACGCAAACAAACATAAACACACACCCTACGACAGGCTGAGTCATGGCGGGAGATTTCTGTGAGCGAGTTTCGAGTGAGCTCCAAAGCTGTCAGCTGTAGTTTCGTCTCTTTTCCCACTCCTCGCTGGCCTCCGCAGAGAGCTGCATTATGCAGCTGTCATCATCCCTTATGGGAGGAAAATCTGAAAAATCTGTTCTCCTTAGGGAGAATGCATCATCACAGATGGGGTGCTGCTGAAAGCACATCCTCCTCTTTTGGTCCCTTAGGACTTTTTGGGAAAGCTGCTCCAATGCTGACGTCAGGCGTGCATAGAGAGGAGATTGTAAAGCATCATACACAGGAAGGCAGCACATGTGTGCTTGTGCTCTGCATGACCGCCTTGTGTGTGCGTATATATAAGCAAGTGCGCGACTCTCAGTGTGTTGTGCATATGTTTGCATATGCTGGTCAGCATATTTGCATGTGTCGAAGCACCTTTCAGGTGTCCAATCTGTGCAGACAGCAAAGTGCTGCAGATTTCGATTTTTTTAGTCAGCTAAAACATGAAATAATACATTTTATTTGTCCACAGCACCCAAAGGTCCGAAATGTGTTTAATTTGGATTTCCCGGACAGCAACCATCTCGCCAAAACCCTGACTATCGTCTCGGGTCCAGACACGGTGAACCTGACCTATCATAACTTCTTTGCCTCAAAGGAAAAAGTGACACAGGTAATAAACCGCTGTATCTGTGTAGTAGCTGTTCCCCATTGACTGTTCAAACACAGCCAAAGGCCTTTAGCCCTTACACCACTGGAGCCTTTGCTTCTTCTCCCTCTCAACCCCTCCGACCCCTCCCTTTCAGTCCAAATTAGACTCTGTGACTCCAACATCCGGATTTAATCTGCTGTAATGAAATCTCAGTAGTGCTTTGTTCAAATACAACATTCACTGCTCTCATTTCCTAACCTAACTCTGCATCAACACCCTCTAGTGGTGAGCTTGTGCATAAACGCTTATGACCTTTTAAGCCAAACTCATGCAGACACCGAATTTAATGCAGCACCTCTGTTTATTTTTGTGGATTAAAAAAAATGCACATTAGAACTGGGCGGACGACATTCTTGCGATCACCTACAACGCTGCAAGAAACAACGCGTGCAGGCAGGTCTTCCTGGATAAAATGTAAGTGAACATCATCACGTAATCTACAGCTTCTAGATGATGAGGGAACATAATACCATGCAATCACATCATGTGCTGGATAACACGTGCTCTGGGAATTCTAATGGAAATACTATTAAATCTTAGATACGTCCGGCTTTCTCTTCAGACCAACAAAGATGGGAAGATCCCAGTGAAACAGTAAGTTTCAGGACAACCACATGCTGGTTCATTTGTTCAGCAGATACCCGTGTTTCCTACTCAGTTGTTCACTATGTTTTTTCAGTATTTACAAGATGTTCCCTGCGGATAAGAAGAGGGTAGAAAGTGCTTTGGCAGCAGCACAGCTCCCCAAAGGAAAGGTCAGAAAAGAAATCTCCTTTCGAGTGGAAATACATTTTAAATTTGGACTTTATTCTTATCTAACTTAATGGAAACAGTTTGCAGTTTTCTGACAACCCATCTGCACATTTGTTTTGTTCTTTTTAATTTTGCAATTTAAAAAAAAAATCAGTATGACACCATTAAGCCTGATGTCTTCACTGAGACTGCCTTCAGGAGCTTTATGACACACCTCTGTCCTCGGCCTGAGATCTATGAGATCTTCACTTCCTAGTGAGTAACCTGTAGAAGTGTCCTTAACTGATCATTGTACAGCCTGAATTTCACACACCTACTGTAGCTGTAGTTATGCTTTATTCATAATTAGTTTGTTATTGCATTTACTTTTTGAAACTTTCACAAATTGTCAAGCAAAAAATAAATAAATAATAATAAATTTAATGGTTAGTGGTAAACCTTCTTCATCTGGTGTTTAAATCTACTCGTTTCAAAAATGATGTCATTGTCTGTTCAAAATGTGTGAAGCGAAAAATTGAAAAATTTGACAAACTAGAGTTAGAGGTGCCTCGTGTAATATGCTGGTCTTGTGCTGCCAGTCTGTGCTCCAGCTCGTGCCTCAGCAGCCTTGCCTGAGCTAAAATGGCAGGAAATTGGCCGTGATGGGGATGAGGAACCTTATGGGCATCGCTGATGCTTTTATTTATTTATTTACTCGTATGTAATCATGAAAAAAATCTGTTTTAAGAGAGTGTCCTGGCCAAGAAGGACAGCAGTGCAATCACAAGTTGCATAAATTAGTTGCACATACGCACGCATGTATAAAGCAGTGAAGCGCAGACAGAGAATGAAAATGAACCTAGTCAAAGTAATATCAGAAACAAAGGTAATAATATTCAGGCAAAACACTGCAGCCTGAAGTAAGTGCAAGTCCAAGATGTGATCGTCTCGCTGTGCCCCGCCCTCCAGCTCCACCAAACCCACCATGACAAAGGAGAATTTCACCAAGTTCCTCAACGAGAAGCAGAGAGACTCTCGGCTCAATGAGGAACTGTTTCCGCGTCTCCGGCAAGATCAGATCAAGGCACTGATTGACAAGTATGAACCCCTGTCCAATAATTCTAACAGAGGTGAGATTCAGTGGTGGTCACTTTGCTATGCTGAGGATGGAATAATGGGCACAATCACCCTCCATATATTTTTGCTTCAAACGGTCTCTTGTTCCCATCTCCAGGTTTGATTTCTCCAGAAGGTCTTTTATTCTACTTGATGGGTCCAGAGACAACAGTGGTCATGCAAGACAGTCTGGCCAAGTCTCAAGACATGACCCAACCCATACCTCACTACTTCGTCAAGTCGTCACACAACACATACCTAACAGGTCAGAAAAAAAAGAGAAATGGATGTGATTTCTTTAAGATGCTGCTTAACAATGTGCCTTATTTTTCATTTTTCTCTCCCTGTGCAGCTGGTCAGTTCTCGGGCGTGTCCTCCCCAGAGATGTACCGCCAGTGTCTGCTCGCCGGCTGCCGCTGCCTTGAGCTGGACTGCTGGAAGGGTAAACCTCCAGATGAAGAGCCCATCATTACTCACGGCTTCACCATGACCACTGAGATCCTGTTCAAGGTTGTTAAACATACTCATGTGCCCTCAGTCTCCCACCCTCCAAGTATTTGAAATTTTTCCTCTGCAACAGTTCACATTACCATATTAGGAATATACCCACCTTTTTAATGTCGTGCTGAAATGTTTTGGGGTCACTGGAATTTTTTGGCCACAACTAATGACCATCCACCAGTGCATAGAGCTGATGTAGTTAAGTATACCTACAATATTATCTTTTCTTGTCTTCTATATAGTATAGAAGATAAGGAAAAACGTTAAAGGTCCACTCCAATATTTCGCAGCCTTTACAGCAAGGAAAGAATGGTAACGATAAACAAATTTAATATTCAAATTTCTAGTGTTTATTTTTTTGGTGTTAAAAAGAAAGCGACACCTGAGTCCAAGTAAATGACCGTCACCATTTTCCTGCCAGCACATCTTGAATGTGCAACATCTAAGCTTCTTGCACACCAAAAAGCTGCTCACACTTATCTTTAATTCATGCTGAAGAGCACATTCGAAACAAGAAAGTGTAAGTACACAGTAACACACAAACACACTGATAGGCCATTCTCTTACAGTCAACACTTCCATATAAGGGCAGCAGGAGATGAACAGTCCCAGGCTGAGGCACAAGGTTCAGTTCAGCAACATCACAGCCTCTGCAAAAAACACCTCTGCAGTTTGACACAATGTTCACGTTTTCATAATTTTCATTTTAGTGAGCTTGTTTCTTTTTTGCTCTGCATCTCATTAACTTCTTGAGGTTTTCTAATGTGCTATTGCCAGTTTCATTTCTTTCAATTTAAGTCCTGGGCAGGTCAAAAGTAAAAATCCAGTTTTAGAAAATAACAACTAAAAGGCCTCTTTTTGTGACACTTGACAGGACGTGATAGAGGCTATTGCAGAGAGCGCCTTCAAGACCTCACAGTACCCCGTTATCCTCTCCTTCGAGAACCACGTTGACTCGTAAGAGCCGAGCTTTAAATAAAGCCGTGTCATAACATGCCATGAATGCTGCTGTTCTGATGCACGTATCACGAATAATAACAGGCATTAATGTGATTTCTTCCAGGGTGAAACAGCAGGAGAAGATGGCCAACTACTGCAAAACCATATTTGGTGATGCCCTGTTAACAGAGCCACTGGACAAATACCCTGTGAGTGAGTACACTGCTGCAGCACAGCCAGCTGTCAAAATAACAGATAAAGTTTAGATGCTATCATGCTACGCTGGGTGACTCGGATGAGTTTCGCTATTTAATCACAACGACATGAAGGCAATAAATGGCAAAGTTCAAGTTTCACTGGCGTGTTTGTTGTCTTCTGTCTTGTATCTGCTATAAGAACCTCTCAGATTCCCAGAAACAAAGTCTGTCAGCTCCTCTTAGGCCTGCGTGTGTTTATATTCCTGAGGCAGTGTCTGTTTAACTATCTTAGATGGTATTAGGGACAAAACCAGTGTTTTAGAAAGGAGGTCAGCAGACAGTTTGAATCCAGGCCTCAACTTTTGAAGTATGAAAAAAAAAGATGTTTATTTTGAATGTTGTTAATTTAAAAAAAAAAAAAAAAAAGTTTAAGTAAAGGCAACAAGCTAAATGGGAGAGTGACCATCTGGCTTTTTATCAGTGTCCAGACAATAAAGTCAGCTTTCATGATGGTATTTGGGCTAAATTATTGAAGGTAATGTCAGTGAATGCAACATTAATGTAGAGGATGCATTCAGGTTTTTGATGCATCCAAATGCCTGAATGCTTTTTTCTTTTAAAAGGTCAAGCAGTCCCTGTGGCCATGCATATGATCACATGATGACCTGACTGTCTTAGGAAAATTAAACACAAGCTTTTAAAACAAATTCTTCTACTATTACTACTATTAAAATAATTGCTATTATTGTTGATTATGTGTAAAAGAAAAAGGTTAAAGTCTGCACCTTTCCATTTACTATTTTGTATTCTTGTTTTCATTTTTTTTTTTAAATTTAATTGTAATTCTGAAAATTTGGAGGAGTATGATGTTTTTGAAAATTGAGCAAAAGGCAAAATAAAAGGTAAATAAATTAATAATAATAATAACAGTTTCATTGTATTTTACTGTTAATTAAAATACTAAACAGTCTCTCCAAAACACAGCCCAGGATAATAAATAAAAACTGCATAGCAAAGAAATAGGAAGATGTAATAGAGTATGGCTATACCCTATAGTCCACTATGGACTTTTTAAGTTAACCTGTCAATAACAGCCATTCATTTTCTTTTTAATTTAAATTTTGTGTTTAAATTACACGTATTTGTGCATATGCAATGTTAATAAATGAGGGCCATTGCTTTGCACTCAAAGCAGCTTTCCTTTAATGACAGACTACATTTGTTTCATGCTCAACAGCCAAACAAAAACAGTTGATTAAATTTAGCAATGACACTTTGAGCATTAAACAACTTTGATGTACTGTAAATCCCTCTGAAACAAAAGCAAGAATATAAATTGATGTTTTCTGAATATAGTCGATTTTGTCATTGTTTAAACTTCTTGTTTGTGTCTCTAACATTCAGCTGAAGCCGGGCCAGCAGATCCCCAGCCCATCTGAGCTCCTGGGTAAGATCCTCATCAAGAACAAGAAGGGCAGCCATGAGAAACCGGCCCAGAATAAGAAAACTGCCGCAGCCGCCGCTGACCAGACCGCAGCCGCAGCTACGAATGCCCAGGCCCCGAACGCCACTTCCCAGGATGAGGCCAACCCAGCAGCAACCACCCCGGAGAACCAAGATGAAAATGAAAAACCACAAGGCAAATTCAGTTATACTCCAGATTTAGACGTGTGATTTTATTTCCAGGTGTCACTGACACTGTTTTTATGTGTTTCACCAGAACCGGAAGCAACTGTGGAGGAAAATGAGGAGCAAGAAGACACAGAGGAACAGGATGAGGAGAAAATGAAGACATCAGATGAGGTAAATACTTGTTTTACATCATTTGTTCCAGCCAG